AAAAAATATGGGACAGTTGATATGATGGGTTTTTAAAAGACTTTGGCCAACTCCTGTACAGTAAGTGGAAAGCAGGACTGTCCTCCTTAGGGACCTCTCAGTGACTGTGAGGATAAAAGCTCATTTTCCTCTTCCCTAAATCCTGCTGCACTGAACATCATCCAAACTGCAAGCTAATGCAAACTCCTGGCAGAACTTCAAAGCAGGGAGGGCTGGTGTCTGTCTCACTTCCTTTGCCCCTTTTCCTCCCCTGCCCTACCCCCCTCCAACTCCAGCAGAGTAACAGCAGACTTAAAGAAAGACACAACTGAAATCAAACTGATCCCTGACCTAGAATAGAGGAAGTGACTCTGTTTGTATAGGGGGTCAGTCATGTTTGCTCTAAAAATACAACTGCACTTGAAGGGCAGAAAACCTGAGGTGGATTGATCGAGTCCAACAAAAAAAATTGTTGTAGTTTTGAATATTAATGAGTTTTTAAAAAAAACAGACAGAAGTCAAGTTTGCTAAATGTGAATGTTAAGATGAACTTTATAGCTTTTTAGTATCATTTAGTTTTAATGGTGATAATATATTTCATCAATAATTCAGAGGTATTTTAAGTATGAGTGTATTTTAAATGCAAACAGTATAAATCTTCTTCAGTCCAAAATCACATTAAACTAGAAAGGCATTCAGGGGGTGCAGCACTCCACCAAGGTCAGTGCAGTTAATATTTTAAACAAAGTTTAATGGTTTAATGGTTTAGCCAAGTCTCCATCTCTCCAAGAAGCTTTACGACATCCAGCCTAGTAGTTGTTATATAGACAGAAAAACAGACAAGCCAACATCGTTGAAACAGCCCAGTGCTTTATCCCAAAATTACTTTTATAACCAAGAAAATGATCTAGAGAGTTTGCCAAGATTTTCCTCCTTGGCAGTGCTCCACATCTCCACCAAGATTCATGAACTTTAGCCAGTTCATTTTTCCATAATATTGCTGACAGACTGATAAATAGTACTTAAAAATCACCCCTGCTGTGGCTACGGAACAGAAACACACAATTTCATTATCAAATCATAAATGCTTTCATTACTTGTTACTAAAAACGGTCATCTCAAGTCACTAATCACAGATATATTAAGAACTTGATTCAGACTGGTTAGATGGCTTCCTTTAATGAATTGGAATAAAAGTAGTTCAGTGGCTTCCATAATACTGGGATGTACCACATTATACTGCTAATTTTGGGCCCAGAGAGCATGCTCAGCATCATTCTTAATAGTCGAGTCCATAAAGTGCATGGACCAGTTGGCTGACTTCCTGCTGGCTCCACATAAACACAAACAGCGCTTAAATAAAAATAATCAGTGACTCTTCGTTTCCAGATGATTTTGAACCCCATGGATCAAATTAAAAAGGTTGCTGATCCTAGAATATTTAATATTGTTGATGATCTGGATCTGGAGCCCCAGTCACACAGGCATAGAGACTAGTTGGCAACCACTTGGCAAACACCTGTCGCTAGGGGAAAATATATAGTCCCAGACTGATTGTTGGGCGTTTCTGGTTAGCAGACAAGTTAGTCTTCCATGCAAAATAGGAGACCACAGCAATCTGTTAGTGACCAAAACAATCACAAGGAGGAAGCACGTTCTATGGGACTGATTTCACCTGGTAACTACTCGCCAACCAGTCAGGGAATACACATTTTTCCCTAGTAACTGGATGCTACCAGGTTTTTCTGACCAATTTCTAGGCCTGTGTGAGTAAGGTCTAAACATATAAAATAAGCATCACTGACTTTTGTCAGGGCACTGTCACTGACTGACAGTTTGTAAAGATGTGGGAGGGTGCTAGGTCACATTTGCAAACATACCAGTATACATGATGTCTGATGATTTAATTTAGTGGACAAATGTGATCAAAAGATAAAACAAAACAATTATAATATATGGTATTTTATTTCAGTTAAGAAATTGACAAGCACTCATCAGTCAACATATTAAAACATTTGTGCCACGTGTGCAAACTCACACGACGGCTCCTTAAAATAAATACTTTTAAGAGGAAATAATACAGACAGAATATGTGAGGCGCAAACCACACGGACGAACAAATTCTCCAAATGTCCAAGAGACGAAAGGGTCTGAAAGTTCCCAAAGTCACCCCGACTCTCCAATGAAAGGTGTTTGTATAAAACAGCTAGGTACTTTTAAAAATACAGAATCTTACAAAAAGTTTTATTTTTTCACTTCTTTAAATCACTGGAAAATATCAGCTGGTATTATGACAAGAAATCAGGAAATTTTTCCATGTATAATCATAAAAAGACAGAATGTGCTTCTGCATTTTTACATTAGTATTCACATACATCGTGAGTGAACTGCATCGAGAAAGTCTTCCACACCTCGGATGGCGCTGTGATGGAGAGTGATGTTTAGCGCAGGGCCTCTCCCCATTGTTGCATTATGCATCGATCTTGCCATCTTTTCAAAATAGCTGCAGTATACCCTCAACGCCCAGGCTACGTAAAACACACTTCACAGCCAAGTGTTCATTGTCTTTATAGGTTATATTAAAAACAGTGTTCACATTTCTGTATATAAAAACAAACCAAAAAAAGTAAAAAACAATATTCTTTTCGACAATTTGTCATCTTTCCAATGGTCCAAAAGAAAGAGAACAGCCATCAACAGGAGAGGATTTTACAAGTTACAGTACAAAAATGTGATCCCGGTGGTAGCACATGAAGCATGCATGTGTTTATGTCGCCCTGCTCAGCCCTAAAACCCTCATGCGAAGACATACTGTATAAAAAGGCCACATGGCTTTTCCTTCTTTTTTAAATGCACAGGTACTCCGACAGCTGACCTCTTTGCTCTGCTCATCCGAAGACCAACAGAAGGTGAGTTTGTTTTTATCTTATTTGGGACTCCACTGTAGATATGAAGCCTCTAAGGGTCAGTACGAGTGTTTGTTTGGTTGAAGCTACTCACACCGGGGGGGTCAAACTAGCTAAAAATACAAAGTCATGGAGAGGTCCTGTGATGGGAAGAAGAGACAGACCTGTAATTTCATTGTTGGCAGGTGAAAAAACGCTTTGAGAGATTTTGAAAGCAAACATCTCAATGCTGAAAAACCTTTGACACACCATCTTTTCTCAATGGAAAGAGAAAGTCGTACAGTCGACATGACTTTGATGTCCTGAATGTCCTTTTTGGACTTTATAGTGATGAAAGGTTTGTGAAGAAGAACCATTTCATAATATATTTTTAACATTTTTTTAATAAAACAATCATTCCTAACCCGTTGCACTGGAGGCCGTGGTTGGCCTGATGAGCTTCGATGCTGTGTGGTTAGCTGACCATAATCATTTCATAACCAAATATGTCATCAGTCAAATGTTTGTATGAACAAAATCCAGAGATACTTGTCTGCTCTTGATAATCAGATCAATAGTTCTTGCTTTGCAAGAGACGATCTGACTGAACAACTGTTGCACTGAAACAACATGAGCAGGTCTGACTGGGAAGATAACGTTAATGTTTCAACGGCTTGCTGGATATTTATTGTTTCAGTGGTTTAAGTCTAGCAGTTGATAACACTCGTATCTTTTGTTACAGCTGGTAGGTAGTTAGCTTATCAAGAGGAAAAGCAGTTAGAAAGTGATGTATGAGTGGTTTACAGTTTCTGTGAGCATGCTAGGACTAGCTTGGTCCAACTTTACAGTACACCATACATACAAGACACCACACTGTCTGGCATTAAGGTGGACTTCAAAGAAGTATAATATGAGTGACTACTCCTCTGTGTTGTCTAAAGCCATCCACAACTGAGTAATCCCCACATGACTGTTGGCTACAGTTGCTTGAAGGCTAGCAGGAAGGCTAGCTGTTAGCCACGCTAAGATTATAAGCTATAGCAGCTGTATCTTTTCCAAAGAATTCATTTTCTTATTCAAGCCTAATCAAGTTGAGTAAGCTGGATTGGTAGTTCAAAAGGCTAACCTAGAAACTGTGATCCACTCATGCTTGCATTCACAACTACGGCCAATTTAAACTCACCAGTTAACCTAACATGCAAGTCTTTGGACTGTGAGAGGACACCGGAGCACCTGGAGGAAAGCCATGCAGAACAGCCAGCCAGAAAGTTCAAATCCAGAACCGTCTTGAATCATTATTCCATTAAAACATGAAAATGATCAATATTTGAGCTGGAAGTTTCTCACCCGTGAACACTGACCTGTTTGTGTGTTCACAAATCTCACAAGCAGTTCTTACTGCGTATTCAGGGTTCATATATACTGTATGAGCACATGTACAAAAGGCAGTTGGGCTTGAGCTTGAGTTCTCTGCTCCCTCTTCTTTAGATCATCCCAGATAAAAATGGGACATCTCTAAAACAGCTTCTTTTTTTCCTTTTTTCCTACTCTTAGTGTAGAGGCTAATGAAGCCCTTCAGCTTTATTTTATATCTGTTCCATAATCTTTTGCATGGTAAAAACAAAAACAACAAAAGCATAACTTAAGATAAACTCTTTAGGCACTGTTTGATTTCCAAGGCTTTCAGTTGTAGACTGTGATTAAAGGTCAACAAACGGAAATTGAAAGAAAAAAAAAAATTAATAATAAAAGAAAAACAGAGATTGATGGCTCTGCAGACGAAACACTTTCTCCTCTCTGATATATCAAGGTCCTCCAAGTCCACTTGCACAGCCAGACAGACTCACTACAAGCTCTGTGGTGGAGAAGTTATAAGGGCAGAAAGTGTCTAAAGCAGGGGTCCCCAATCCCAGTCCACGAGGGCCGGTGTCCCTGCAGGTTTTAGATGTGTCCTTGATCCATCACAGCTGATTTAAATGGATAAATTACCTTCTCAACATGTCTTGAAATTCTCCAGAGGCCTGGTAAAGAACTAATCATGTGATTCAGGTGTGTTGACCCAGGGTGAGATCTAAAACCTGCAGGGACACCGGCCTTCGTGAACTGGGATTGGGGACCCCTGGTCTAAAGGGTAAGTCTGTATAAGTTCTCAAGGTTAAGTTTCAGTTCCAGTCTTTAACGAATCTTTCTCCTTCATAAACAGAAAACAAAGTTTGCATCTCAACCCATTATCTTCTGGGGAATCTCTATAGAAGCCTTGATGAAGATGCAGTTGTCCCGGATGTAGTTCCTCTTCTTGATCTCCTCGTGCGAGATGAACTTGGGGTAACCGAAGCCCAGCGTGCTCTCGTCCAGCGAGTTACGGCTGCTGCAGGGCTTCTGGAAGTTCTTCCAGTTAGGGTCGGGGTTGAAGGTCTCCGTGATGTGCTGGGGTTTTGAAAGCGACGGGTCGCTCTGGTCCAGAATGGAAAACGTCACCTTGTAGGAGAAGGGCCACTCCAGCAGGTTGTCATATTCTCCGGGTAGCACGCGGATATAGACAGAGAGGTGAGAGCCCTCACCACTCCCGTTACCATTGAGGAAGGCTGACACCTGCAGCTTGTAGCCATAGCGGTGAGTGTAGAAGGGCGGGCTGAAGAACTCATGGTTACTTCTGAGTTTGGCCTCCTGGAGTTTCCGTGAGTAGTCACTGAGTTTCCAGATGAGTACGCCATCGTGGCTTACAGACAACTCCTCCATCTCCCTCCGCAGCTCCAGGATCTCCTGCCGCTGACGACCCACCAGGTTACACATCATGGTCAGGTGGGACTTAGTGGTGTCTTCCAGGTGACGACCAATAGCCAGTTTGGGGCACTGCAGAGAACGGGGAATCTGATTATAAAAACAAAAATTGGCTTCCCATCAGTGTAAAAGAATGCTTTTGTGCTAATCTTAGTTATTTATAGTATTTCTCCCAGGTTTTATATAGTAGGGGACACTTAAAACTTCCTGTGTATCAATTAATAATAAAACAAACAGTAATATGATGAAGATGAGCATGCTCAGACTGCAAAGTGAATCTGCACTCTGCTTTTGTGTTTGTACTTTCCATCAGGCCATCTTTAAATAGAACAAGTCAAGCTCTCCAGATGCTTTTTAAGTCTTAACAGAACACCAAGCCGGAGTTTGGTGCTCATCAGTCACTCTTCCTCAAGCGTCCATTCTACATTTCAATCTACATTTCTCCAGATTGATGTGGGTTTTATAAATAGACAGAAATGCACTGTCACAGTGTAGAAGTGTTGATCTCATTAAAATAGACCCTACAGCCACAGCAGTGCATGTCGGAGAAGAGGAAAGGCAATACTTTGGACACATTTACCAAGGACCAGAAGTTTCCTTCTTGGACAACAAAGGCAAAAACATTTGGCAAGTCATCTCTTAAGGTCAAATGATGCAGGTCTTACCCTGTGTTTGCACCCGGCATCTTTAAAGGGGCAGAGAACGAGGGCGCTACCGCAGTTGTCCTTCATATGGTTAGCAAGGTCCTCTCGGGCAATGTTGGGTGTGCCGCATTGGTTTGGGCACTGGACAGGAAAGCGAGGGCAGTGGTACTGATGGTTCTGCAGAGGACAGAAAGCATGACCAGTAAGAACACAGACTGCACACCAAGGCTCAGATTAATAGCTGTACAGGGGAAAAGAAGCCCTTGAAAGTACCCCCCAAAATACACTTGGGTTTAAAAATGAGGCTACAGACATAAAAAGCAAAAAATTACTTTTATTTTAGCTTCAAAGTAAAGAAAAGAAGCTATTTGTTATCGTAAATACATTATGGTTTTAGATCTACAGCTGAATAAACCAAGTAAAGCAGTGGATCTGGTTAATTGTGATTAACATTTTTATACATTTTCATCCGTTTTATAAATGTCGGCTGATCATTTCATCAACTGATTTCATTAAAACTAGTCTATAAAATGTTTTCCATATCTTCATGTGATGTATTAGATTGCATATTATTGTAAATTAGTGTATGTTGTCATGGTAAAAACAGCAGCTGTTTGAGATACCCCATTATAGACTAGATGGTGACATGAGGAAGCAGGATAACACCTATCTTTGTAAACCAATTAAATGAGCAATACTGAGAAAAGCTCTGAATATCACGTGACAACGGAAAAAGCTCTTCAACTCTAGTGTGTGCTATGACCAAGATTGGATTATTACATCTTGGCCTGTCACGTGGGGGAGGGTGACACTGACTGCTCTGCCTCTGGCCAGATGTGTGCAGCAGGAGGTGCCTTCCTCATATCAAAAGCCCAGAAAGAAAAAACAGCAGCTTCACACTAAAAATCCAGCTGCCACAAGACAGAGACACCATAAATGGAAACATCCTTCAGCTACAGCAGGTTTTCTCTTTGCCATCGGGCTCCAATAGGCTGAATTACAGACAGAAGATAAAATGTGTCTCTGCACTTCATCTTGCCAAACATAATTATTTCACTAATAAAAAATAAATACATTTAAAAAAGAAATTATGGAGCCTTTTGGGGAAAATCACAGCATCTGGTCATAAACTTAATGTGAAACAGACCTGGATTGTGTCGAAGACGAACTCCTTGCCGCAGTACTTGCAGGGCTGCGTGCGTTTGGGGCACTCGGCCATGCTGTGTTGGGACAGCAGGCGACGCATCATCCTCGCCCCGCACTTGTTCTCGCAGTAAACGCTCTCTTGAGGACATACGCCCTGGTGATTCTGGAATGAGAAAAATAAAAAATTAGATCGGGGTTATGACAAAAATCTATGATTCAGACATGGAGGTGTGCATATTTGATGGTGTCTTTTATTTAAACTGCATTTTAATTAACAAAATAATGCCTGTTAAAATTAGGTTATACTGAATGTTATTGCAGCAATGAACACACCTCTCCATCCATGCATAGCTACTCTATTCAGTAACGAATCATGGGGATCTTACTGGATCTTAATCTAATAACAAAATGTTCACCAATTATATCTAATGGTGTCCAGCACAGAAAGCAAAACCTTTTTTTTTTACCCATTTTATATTGCTAGATTTGTGAGGCAATTTAGTTCCATGTATTACCACTGGGGATACTTTTCCGGTAGCCACGGGAACTGAACTGAATTAATTTAATAAAAATAAAAACTGTATATTTAGTTTTAAAAAATGACCTAAATAAAACAGTCTTCCATTCAAACATTTTTTTAA